CTCACAGTTCCCAAGAAGAGGGGGCACACCACAAAATGGGGGGGGCACATGGGAAAGCACCGGAGCTGGTCAGAGACAGAGGTGGTGCTGGGAAGATCTGTGGCAAGAGTCTTTATTGTGATCTCCGAGGGAAGGAAGAGATGAAGCCAGGCAAGCAGGCTTAGGATTGGCTAGTTGAATGATTCCAGCGGGCTCTGGCGTGGAGAGACTGTCCCTGGCTGTCTGGAGTCTGGCCCTGCGGTGATTAGAGCAGGTGGAGAGTGGGCAGGAGTGTGAGAGCCTGAAAAAAGGGGAAGTTGGGCGCAGGCTCTGGATTGGTTTGTATGTGAAAAGCGCATTTGTGGGTGCATTATCATCTCTAGGAACTGGTGAATCTCGGGGGGGGGACAGTCCGTCTCATGTCTGCAAGTCCTCAGCTATCAAAGCATCAGCATACAGAAAATAAAAGACAAGGTTAATACACTGGGGGCGTTCTGGGAATGTGGTCTTTCCCAGGGCTGGGGGAAGAGGTCAGATAAGGTCTCTCTGTTTAAGTGATATCTGAGCAGAGAACTGAATGAAGAGAGGGATCGAGCAGATATATCCTAGGAAAGAGTCTTCCAGGTGGAGGGCATAGCAAGTGCAAAGGCCCGGAGGTGGGACTGTATTTGGTTTGTTCAGTGACTCGAGAAGAGGTTGGTATAGCTTACAGGAGAGACAAGGAAAGATCGTCAGGGAGGTAGGGCTGAGAGTGTGTGGGATGAGATGTCACCACATTGTGGGAGGTGAGGTGCCCTGAGCAGAGGACGAAGATTATCTGACTTGGGTTCTGCAGCTGGGCAGAGAGGGGGTGGGGAGGGGAGCTGGGAGAGCAGGGAGACCAGGGGCGAGGCTCTGGCAACAATCCAGGTGGAAGAGGCTAGGGGCTGCACCACTGGAGGACCCAAGGAGACAGATTCCTGCTATCAGCTGACAAGCTTGGATGGGCAGAGGTTTGAGACAGAGTGGGAGAGACAGAACTTGTGTTAGAAGGAACACTTTATTTGTTTCTGAAGGAAAACATACGTGAAGCCATTTTAGCAAATGGAAATCTGAGTGAAAACCATGCTTTCTTTGACTGATGTCTTTCTCCACGCTCCGACAGCCCCCGTGCCTACATGCCTGTCATTCCATACGTCTGGAAATATCTTACTCATGTTGTCTTTTTCTCCATCAGATTATCAGCACCTCTGGGGAAGGGGCTGAGTCCAGTTCTGTTTTGGTTGTTTTGTCCCCAGCTGCTGTGATAAGGCCTGTTTCAGAGGAAGTTCTCTGGAAATGTTTGTTCAGAGTGTCCACTTTGCAGATCTGAGTTTTCTCCCTGGGAGGAAGGATTGCGCCCAGCAGGGACAAGTTTCCATGCCCACGTGCTCCCTTGACAACTAGAAAATGTCTCCATCTTCCTCATCTCTTGGCCTTTGCACGGGCTGTCCCCTCTGGTTGGATTGCTGTCCACCCCCCTCCAGGTCCCCTTTTAAAGGCCACCTCCTCAGAGAGACCTTCCCTGACCCTCTTCCCCACCCCCCCGCAGCCTATTTATTTAAGTAATCTCTGCACCCAACGTGGGACTCGAACTCACAACCCCGAGATCAAGAGTCGCATGTTCCTCCGACTGAGCCAGCCAGGCGGTCCCCTTCCCTGACCCTCTTAAATGGCTGCTCTCCACCTCTCCCTGGTCCCAGTCACCCCTTGCCAGGTCACTCTGTGCTTACCAACATCAGAAGTTATTGTCTTCAGTTCACATGACCCACTGTGTGGGCTCTGGTTCTTCGGTGGGAGGTGGTCTTGGTGCCTGCCCTCAGCCCCCTCAGTGGGATGGGTGCTCATGCCCCAGCAGCTGTGGGTGCCTGTTGCCAAAGGCTTCCACCTGCACTTCTCAGGCGATTGGCCCTTGGCCAACTGGAGTTGTCTTGCAGGATACGCCAAGTGGGTGCGGCAGGATCAGAACCAGGGAGGGGCAAGTGGGGCCGAGTCACCTAAGTGCAAAGGCAGAGCCTGTCTGTACTTAAAATTCTGATATTTTGTTCATTGTGGATTTGGGGCATTAATTTTGATTTTTTTCTTTTTTAAAGATTTTATTTTTTTTTAAGTAATCTCTGCACCCAACATGGGGCTCAAACCCACAACTCCGAGATCAAGAGTCACACGCTCCCCCGACTGAGCCAGCCAGGTGCCCCTAATTTTGATTTTTTTAAATACTGCATTCAAATATGATTTATCTTGATTACTGAGTCTTTTTTGACTTCCCTTTACATTCTGTGTTCAAGGCGAGAAGTCCTGAACCTGCTCAGGGGTGGAGCCTGAGAATCCGTATTGTTAAATCTGCCTTCCCAAACCCCCGCTGCGAGGCTTACAGGAGCTGTGAGCTAAATCGGAGATGCAGGATAACCACGTGACCTAAAAAAATAAATCTGGAAAGGCTTGCTTTGCTGTTTCTCCTGGAGCAGTGAATTTCGCACACTGCCTGCCCAGCTGTATGGGGTCAGTTGCCTGTACCAGGGTCAAAAGGGAAGCCCCATTAGGGCAGGGGCAAGGAATTTGCCCCCACACTTCAGTGAGAAGGGTTGTTTTTCAGTGTGATTTATAGCTGGGCTTTCTGCCTTAGATTCCACACTGCCAGAAAAAAAGCAGAAATCCATAATCATAAAGTTGGTCACTTTTGCCCTAGAAGCAGCTAGTTAGGAGTTCCAAGGCCTCCTAATTCTTAATTAGGGCCAAAGACCCTACGCCGCCCTCTGGGTGTGCAGGTCAGTGTCTAGAGCTCCTCAGTCCCTCAGGGGAGGTCTGGAGAGGTGCCTAAGTCTGGGTCTCTATCTTGGACACCCGATCAGAACCTGTGCGAGAGAGAGAAGATGCAGAAATCTCAACCCTTCCGTGACCCCAGTTCCTCCTCTGTACAACCCTAGACTCTGTCCTCCATGTGTGTGGGGGGGACACAGCTCCCCCACCAGTGCTGTCCCATTTGGGGCTCCATCCTTCACCCCAAATGGTATTTGCTTTCCACTCCACTGAGTTTTAAAGGGCTCCATTGTATACGGCTCTGTGTCACGTATCTGTCTGTTTAGCCTTTTCAATTGTTGCATGTCTCACAGCCACTTTGGAGGCGGGGGAGAAAGGTCATTCCCTAAATCTAAGGTATTGTTACCATGATGGCAGTGCCCGATTGCTATGACACCCACCAGGCTGGGGAAGATAGAGCTAATTAGGTGGAAAACTTACTTTTCAGGCATGAGTCACGGGCAGCAGGTGTCCGGGAACCTTTAAACAAGGCCCTCGTGACTCAAATGGTATTTCCACTCTGCATCACTGCATGTACATCATGCTGAGGTCGCCATGCCTCCCCACCCAAGACAGGGAGAGGACGTGCTTGGAGGCCTTTCTACTTCCTGGCCATCTTTCCCGTTTCCCTTCCCATTCATTCACTCCCCAGCCGTTTCGGGAGCACCTACTAGGTGCCAGGCCCTGGGCTAGGTGCTGGGAGCCAGCGGTGAGCTGCGTTGCCCAGTAGGGACTCACAGCGTGGGAGCAGCACCAAGCTCCTTGTGCAGGAGACAGACCGTAACCGAGTGGCAGGGAATACACGGGGCAACTTGGAAGGTCGACAGGTGGATGAAGAAGATCAAGCAGGATAGGAGGGCGTAAGGGGGAGGTGCTGGTGTGCATTCTTCGGAGAGGTGGTCAGGGGAGTGAGGGAAGGGGCAGCCATGGAGGGTTCTTTGGGAAGGGCATTCCAGATAGAGGGATCCGCAGATGTGAAGGCCCGAGGTGGGAGGGGGCTGGGTGTGTCGGCAGAGCCAGAGGGCCCTGTGGCCGGGTGGAGTGAGCAAAGCAGACAGAAGCCGGGGATGAAGCTGGAGAGGACAGGGCCCGGGTCACTCAGGGCATTGGGGTTTTATTCTCAATATAATGGACGGCCCCGGGTGGACTCAGGCGAGGCGGGTCAGATTTGTGTCAGAGCGTGCTTCCTGCTGCCGGCCCAAGGGCGGGGTCACAGCCAAGGCGGCAGTGGGTATGGGATGCAGAAAGCAATGTCGCTGTACCCGTGAGGGTGAAGCCAGGCTGTGGCTATATCGTGGGGGTAAAGCCCCCTCCCTGTCCCAGCACTGGGGCTCTGATGCCCTCGGGCTGAGTAAATCTGTTGGCTGGCGGTGGGGGGAGGGGCCCCTCTCTAATGTGCATCAGGAGCAGATCCCAGCCGGGTGGGTGCTCTTGGAGGCCTCTGGAGGGCACAGGGAGGCCTTGGGGGGCCCCAGGCAGTGCCTCTCAGACTGCTCCGGGGGAACCATGACCCACCTTCTCAAGGCATCAATCCCATTCTACGTTTAGCTTTAGGTTCAGGGAAGTGATTTAAAGCATTTTTTTTTTTTTTTAAAGACTGTTAAAATGAACGTGGAGTAGAGAAGAAAATCCACCGTATTTTTAAAAAGATAAAACGAAGCGATTTCACCTTTGTAGTCGGCAATGCGGACAGGCCCCTTGGTGTCCACTTAACCATTGGGGTGTCTTGGGGGAAAACTCTGAGAAGCCTAGGGCACAAGAGAAGAGAACAGGGTGGAAGAGAAGGGAGGGAGAGAGGTCAGGAGGGGAGAGGAATAAAAGAAAACCAGAAAGGGAACACAGCATTTACTGACAATGTCCCCAAAGGTATCTGTTCTCTCCCTGTTCTCTAACCCCACTGGGCGCAACCAGGTCTGAACGACCCAAGGAAACAGGCCGTTGTCCTCCCAGTACGCACACTGGCTGGCTTTGCTGGCAAGCACCTTCCCCTCTTCAGAGCCCCATGGAAGGCATTTTCTCTCTTTTTCATCGGTTTTCTTTAATTGCACACGATCCACACTAAACACAGACATGTTCCTGCTGTCATTTGTTTTTTTTTCCCTCCCGGCAGACCCAAAAAGCAAGTCTTTGCTGGGCATGTTATTTACATGGTGGAAAGAACAAAGCCATCTCCTTACTGGGGGAAACAGACATGGGGGCGGGGAGGGGGCTGTTGTGTGCTGGGGTCTTGACCAGCTTCTGCTTCTCTCGTGGAGGCGGAGGGGTAGGGACCCCTCTGCGGATGTTGCAGACGTCCTTCTCGGGGTGTGGTTCCAGTGGGTCCTGTGCCAGGACCGCACTCAGAGCAGCAGGCGCCTTTGAGGGCATCTTGTAGTGACGGCGATAGCTTCAAGCCGCAGAGGGCAGGCAGAGCTGGGGGTGTCCTGGCGGTGGCGACGGGGTCTGTCCTCTGGGCTCAGTTGTTGTCTCTGGTGTCCGAGGACGCACTTCCAAACAAGAGGTCGCTATCGTGGGACATGGTGCTCAGCTGCGACTTGGTCTTGATGAGGAACTGGGCCCTCCGGAACATGACCCTCTCCTGCTCCTGCTTGAGCTCCAGGTAGGAGCGGGAGAAGGTGTGGAAGATGGAGGTCACCGGGAAGGCCATGAGGAGGATGCCGCTGAGGATGCTGCTGAGCGCCACCACCTGGCCCGGCGTGCTCCTGGGTACCATGTCGCCATAGCCCACAGTTGTCATGGTGATGACAGCCCACCAGTAGCAGGCGGGGATGCTGGTGAACTCGGGGCTGTCGGCCATCTCGTTCTCGATGACGTAGAGGAGGGGGGCAAACAGGGCGATGGCCACGCAGAGGAAGAGCAGTAAGAGCCCGAACTCGCGGGTGCAGCGGCGGGCCGTGAGCCCCAGCGTCTGCAGCCCCAGGGAGTGGCGGGCCAGCCGCATGACGTACAGGATGCGCAGCGCCCGCAGGACCCGCAGCACCAGCCCCACCTTGTCCAGGTAGCTGTTGCCCGCGCCCGACTTGCGGCGGCCCGCGGCGGCGCCGTCCACCAGCAGGGTGATGTAGTAAGGCAGGATGGCCACCAAGTCGATGAGCGTCAGCGGGCTCCGCAGGAAGGCGAACTTGCTGGGCGCCTGGATCAGCCGCAGGAGGAACTCGAGGGAGAACCAGCCCACGCACACCGACTCCACGATGAAGACGTTGTGGCACATCTGCGAGCACTGGCCCTGGGAGAGAGGGGGGAGGTCGGGGTGGGGGGGAGGTCAGCCGCGCCACTGGCCAGGCCGTGTGTTTGCCCGGGGCCCCGCCCTAGTTAGGCTCACGTCCCCGGGGGTGGGGGGCTGGCCACGCCCAGGGCTTGAGGCACCCGCAACCACCACTCTTCTGTCTCCCCAGCGGAGGCCTGCTGCCCCTGGATTCCAGACCCCAGAGGGCCTACCTCCTTGATGTCACTCCTAGGGTGTCCGATGGATGTTTCAAATTTATCATGTCCCAAACCGGGCTGCTGTTTTTTTTAAAAAAATTCTTTTTATTGAGATATAACTGACATAAAATACTGTGTCAGTTTCAGGTGTACATGTTGATTTGATACATCTATATATTGCAATAAGATTACCACCGTAGCCTTAAGCTAACACCTTTATCATGTCACGTAATTATAATTTCTTTTTTGGGGTGGAAACAATTAAGATTTAGCCTCTTCAGTCTCTTGGTTTCTCCTGCACACCCGCCCACCAGTGCTTTCCCTTCTTAGCAACCCCACCTTTCCAGTTGCTCGGGATGGGAGACTCAGCCTCATTCTGACACCTCTCAGAGTCCTCAGGAAATCCCATTGGTTCTTCCTTTAAAATGATTCCAGAATCAAACCACTTCTCCTATGTCTGCTGCCCTCACCTTGGTCCAGCCACCATCCTCTCTTGCCTGGACAGTTGCAGGCACCTCCTTCCTGGACTCCCTGGTCCCTACAGTTTATTCTGCGCACATAGCCAGAGGGATGCTGAGAACGTGGATCGGATCCTGTGCGTTCTCTGCTCAGCACCCTCCATGGCTCAGAGAGATAGCTCAAGTCCTCCGGGGGCACACATGGCCTGGCTACCACCTCTCCCACTTCCTAGCCCCCTGTCTGCCTTGTTCGTGTGCTCCAGCCTACCCCCCACCCAGGGTCCCCCCACCCCCCAAGCCAGACCTTGACTTTCTGCTCTTCCCCCGGATACCCACATGGCTCTACCCTCCCTTCCTCCAGTTCTTTGCTTCAATATCACTTTCCCAGGGAGGCCATTCATGACCCCCTCGATTAAAAGTCCCCCCCTTTGTCTTCCATCCAGATTCTCCTTTTCCTGCTCTATTTATTTAGAGGGTTCATCATCTCTTAAAATGCTTTATAAGTTACTTATGTATCATGTTCAGTATCTGTTTCCACCCTCCACCTCCCCTGCCCCTTTGCCCCAGCAGATTATATCCCCCCGGCAACCATACCAGCTCGTGTGTTGTTCACTCTTAGGACCCCAGTGCCTGGAACAGCCTAGCACGCGACAAGTGACCAATTCACGTTTGTCACCAGGGTGGATGGAAGCGCATGGGACTGGCATTTAGATGGGGGTGCCAACTCAAGGCCAGGTGGGCAAAGGGAGCCTGAGGAAGCCGGGCCAGGTGGGGTGGAGGTCAGCCAGAAAGCACGGCTCTCCTGCTAAGTACCTCCTGATCACTGCGCCAAGGGAATTCAGGCTGGAGTTTCGCGTGAAACCTCCTGGGTTTTAAATGTTGTGATAATTCAATACAAATAAACACTCTGTGGGCCACTCAAACTTATCTGTGTGCTGCATTTGGCATGCGGGCTGCCAGCTTGTCTCTCTGGTCTGCCATGGAACTGGACAGGAGACTGTCCCCAGTGGCTTTGGACCTCAGTCTCAAAGGGGCCTGTGACAGAGTGGGAAGGCACACATATATTTAGCCTGGGGCATCTGTCATTCCTAGGCACAGCTGGATTCTGTGAGTCCTGCCCTAGCAGCTCTCTCTCTAGGAATAAGTTAGAGGCTGCAGAAATGAACTAGTACTCAGTGGGCCATGAGGTCTCAGCCCTCTGGTATGGGAAGCCTCCTTCTCTAGGAAGCCTTCCTGGAGTGGGCCCCCTCCAAGTATACCCAGCATAGTTGATGGGCCTCTCATAAGAGCCCCCTTGGGCTTATGGTCACAGAGTATCACTGTCCCTTCTCCACAGGACCTGAAGTCCTTGTAGCTGGAAAACTTGTTCTGGTCACCCTGCATGCCAGGTGATGCCTGAACATAGTAGGCACTCGAATATGTGCTCAAGCAGCAAGTGAAACAGTGAACCTCACTGGTCTCCAAAATGAAGTCAAAGAACAGCATTATCACTGAATCAAGAAAAAGTCCAAGTATTATTAAAAAAAAAAAAAAGCAAGTGTCAGAAGGTGAATAAAACTGTAGCTTTATTAGCATTTTCCTGATAAAGTCAAGACTGCATATGTTGGAGCCAAGAAAAAATTTATACCATGTACAGGTACTTCCAGACAGGTCTCAAATGATAAGCATTTGCTCGCTCGCTCTTTGGCAGGTGCATGTAATCCTTATAGTTAGTACTGCCTGCACGCTCCAGCGCCAGGCATTATTCCAAACACTTCCTGTGGACTCACTCACAGAATCCTCACAACACTGTGAGCTGAGCCTCTGCACAGCAGCCCTACTGAGGCACAGGGAGGGTAAGTAACTTGCCCACAGGTGCGCAGCCAGGGTGGACGTAATGGGATTCAAATTCAGGCCATTAGGTTCTAGCCCCACCCTCTTCATCACTCCCGCTTCTGCTTATCAAAAATTATTTTTACTGGTTGAGTGTTACATTTTTAAAACTCACTTTAAAAATTAAATGTATAAAAAAGTGCCAGAAACCCGCCCCCACAACCCCGTGTTATAAATGCAATAGCCATTGTTGCCTCCTCCATTATATATGCGGAAAAACCCTCCCCTGGTGAGTAGTTCCAATGTTCCATCAGAGAGTTCATGTGAAGCGCTCAGCACATGCCGGGTACATGGCCAGTGCTCATTAAATGCTGGCCAGCATGATATTTATGTTGAGTTCATACAGCCATACCTATTTCTCCATCGCCTATACAATTTGTACTTGTTGGAATGTTTTGGTCTGTCTTAAACTTGCTTCTAGAACAACCCCCCCGCCCCCCGCCGTGCCCTGCCTCCCCACCCCCATGTGGGGAAAGGGTCCCAACTTAAAAGGCCCAAAGGTCTCATATATTAGGAAACTGAACTGGGGAGCACACACTTTCCATAGACTCAGCTCCCACCCAGAGCTGCTGTGTGGACTGCAGGCCAGGGGGCCAGACCCTATGCATTTTGAGAAGCTGAGAGTTTGAATTTTTAAATACAAGACGCTTTACTTTTAAATGTTGGCAAGCAAGTACAATTTTTAGGGAGCACAGTGTGGGCCAATCACACACTTCCGAGGAGGTATGTGAAGTCGCAGGCTGCCATGTGGGACTCGTACTTCTTTGTTCAAGAGCACAGAACTGTGGCTCAGTCAGACCTGGGTCTGGGCAAGCTGCCCTGCTGCACTGTTCTCCTCTGTCAGCTGGTAAGAGAATGCCTCCCGTACAGGGCTGCTGGAAGTTTCGCTGAGAACATGAGGTGTAGGCAGAACTACGGCCCAGCCCCTGGCTGCTAGTAACGGCTGGCTGAGAATCCAGGTCACACCTTGGTCAGGCCACGGAGTAAACACTTGACACACACTTCCCTTGCTTAACACAGAGACCCTCACTGTTTGAGCCCACGCATGTACATACACAGCTATCAATAAAAATTATATGCCGGACCCAGAAAATGGTTCTGGGCTATCTTTAAACAAGGGAATTAGGAAGCTTGAGATAGGGCTCATGTGAAGTAAATGTGGATGATATATTATTATGTGTTTAGCCCAGGGGCAGGCTCATCATAAATCACATCATTCACGGACCCGCTCATCTGTTCCTTCCACGGAGGGGCGGAGTGGACCGGAGTTGTCCATGCTCCACACTGTTCTAGACCCTGGGGGCACCGCACAGAGCAGGCCAGGCACGGAGCTGGTGGTGGAACATGGAGGTGGACAACACACGTGTTAAGCAGGATGTCAGAAGGGACTGGAGATGCTGCTCAGCCAGCGCAGTCAGGGAAGGCCTCCTGGTGGAGGTGACCGCGCCGGCGTGAAGGAGGTGGACTTCTGGAGAGAGGGGCCCTGTAGACTGCTTTGTCCCCTGAACTCAGAGGACCCTCCCCATCCCCGCAGCGAGCCTCCCCTGCACACAGCTGTGGCTCTTACCTGCTCCTCCTCCTCCCGCAGGCTGGGCAGGGTGCTGATGGACAGGTTGACGGCCGTGACGGTGACGAAGAGCACCGAGAGGCAGGCGAACACCTTGCCCGGCAGCCCCGAGTGCGGCCTCTCCACCATGTCGCGCAGTCTCCGCATGCAGCGGCCCAGGCGGCCCTCGCCCTCGGCCGGGCCCTCGCTGCCGGGGTCCTCGCTGGACGGCGGCTCATCGTCGTCCCGCTCCACCACGTCGGCGAACTCCTCGATCTTCTGCAGGTAGCGGCGCTTGCAGCAGCCGTCCAGGCGGTCCTCGGCGATGCCCCAGTAGAGCAGCTCCTCCTGGAAGGACAGGGCGCACATCTCGCGCAACAGGCGCAGCTTGCCCGCCCGCAGGAAGGTCAGGATGGTGCCAAAGGCCCCCGGGTGGCGGTCGAAGAAGAACTCGTTGCAGGTCACGTCGTAGTCGTCACACACGTTGAGGATGTCGTCGAAGTTGGTGCAGGCCTTGAGCTGGCCCAGGCGCGTCAGCGGGAACTCCTCGAGCGTGGTCCAGGGCAGCGAGTACTTGATGCCGCCCACGTTGATGATGATCTGCCGCCGCCGGTCCTCGGGCTGGCCGGCCTGGCGGGGCGCGTCCTGGGGCCGGGGCCGGGGCCGCAGCCGCTGCGCCCGGCGGTAGAACACGCCCTTGAGGGACTGGCCCTGCGGGAAGAAGGCCGGGTGGAAGGAGGCGTCCGAAGCGCAGCTCAAGGCGCTGTAGTCGTAATCGGAGTTGTCTCCCGGTAGGAGGGTCATTTTGGGCTTTCACATCCCCCTCGCGCCTGGGTTGGAGAAGGGAGGAAAGACCCTCAGTGAGGCCCGAGTCTGGGCAGCCCGTGCCGCTTCTGCAGGTATTCGCTGTTGGGGACTGAACCGTGTGCCCCCCCCCCCACCCCTTCCCGGATTCACAGGGGGAAAGCCTGACCACTGTGGGCCAGTATTAGGAGGCAGGGCCTTGGTGGTGGGGGTGGGGGGGTGATTAGGTTTAGCTGAGGTCGTGAGGGGCGGGATCAGTGCCCTTATGGGAAGAGGAAGAGCCACCAGAGCTCCCTCTCTCTCCACCACGTGGGGACACAGTCAGAAGACAGCCACCTACAAGCCAGGAAGAGTCCTCCCCAGAAGCCAGCCACCTCGGCACCCTGAACTTGGACTTCCAAGCACTTGTGGATACAAGCACAGACTCTGGAGCCTCATGGCCCAGGGAAGGTTACTTAACCTTGATCTGCTTCAATTTCCTCATCTGTAGAATGGGTACAACCATTTCCCCTACTTCGTAATCCTACGAAGTAGGATTACTGAGAAGAATCCATGAATTATGTGCGTAAGAGCATTTAATAACACAGTGCCTGGCACATAGCAGGTACTCAATCATTGTTGTCTATTATTACTATTTGTGTTTACCTTAAAGGGACAACTTGTATTGCTTCCGTAAGTGGAAAACCTAGATCACTGGCCATAAATAAGAGGCAATGTCCAAAGAAATGCATAATTATCACAACAGTGCCAGAGTTGCTCATATATCATCAAACATTTTGAGGGTATAGGGGTGAACTGCACAGGCATGACCACTCCTCTAGGAAGCCTTCCTTGGCTCTTCCAGCTAAATCGAGTCCTCCCACCCCTGTACCTGCATCATCATCCTTACTATAACTGTGTGCAAGCCTGGTTCCTTTATGAGACTGCTTGCTCTGTAGGACAAGAACTGGGCTCTACTCAGCTCTGAATCTCTGTGCCCAGCAGTGTAAGAGCTCAAAGAAGTAGCTGCTGAATGGGGCCAACATGAGGAGGACACTTCTGAAAACCTGAGGTCAAAATATCCACTTATACAGGCCCCTTCCTTCCCAACTCTCAAAGCTAAGGGTGTGTGCTACTAGAATGACATTGCTTATTCATTCATAGCTCACGGGCTGAATTTGGTTCACAAATGTTCTCCTGGCTTGGAGAAGATTTTGAAAATTGAGGAAGTTTCTGTAGAAATTTATATTCTTGGTTTCTCTTGAAAAATCAGACTATTTGGCAACATTTGGCTTAAATTCCAGCTGAGAAATGACTGCCCCCTGTTGGCAGGGCATGCATGTGGCAATCTACCACAGTCCCCACCCTTCCCTGTTGTCTTCCTAATACCCACTTTCCTTCACTCATAGATGTTTCCTTCCTGGCCCCTGTAGGCGTTTGAGTTTGAGACCCCCCCCCCAGATTATAGCAACTGAGCTCTCCAGAATGAAGCTGATCCATAGAAAAAGTAAGACTAATACTCGGCTTTTTTAAAATCACCATCCTTCCCTCCAGCCTAGTCCCCCATGGAAGCAAGTAGTACCAGCAAAGTCTACCAATTCCATTTCCAATACCTGAGTGTCGATCTGTGCCGTGGACATGTGCTGGGAAAATGCACGTGCCCACACACGTGCACACACACCTGTAGGGACGAGAAAGTGTTCGACAGGAGCCAGGGGGGTTCCACCTGAAAGAGGATCCTTCCTAACAGAAATTCTTGTTCATAAAGCAAATCATCACTCCACTCATTTATCTTTGAGGAAAGATACAGTTTCACAGATTGGGTTCTGGAAAACTAGGTATACCTGCACTTGAAATGAAAATGATCTGATTTTAGAGTGTTGAGAATGTTTCTTAACTTCACCTAAAATTGGAACCCATCTCCTCGGGCGCAGCCTGCTAGAATCCCTTCGAGGAGCGAGAATAATCCCTTTCAGGCACTTCACATGAGTGGTACCGCTTTTCAGCTCTGCTGCTTTATCTTTGCCACCAAAGACAAGAGGAAAAGTGACATTCTGTTTGGCAAGAATGGTGACAGAAGAAAAGGAACCTTCCTCTGGTCCTGCAAGCCCCAAAGAGCCCTTGTGAAACCCCCTTGGCTGTAATCACCTCTTACAGACAGAATGTCTTCTTTCAAGCTCTCAGCTCTCCCTCTGGCATAGAGCTCCCCCAATTAGTGATCCCTCATTTCGTTCTCTCATGACCCCTGTCAGCTGTGAGTTAAAGCCTCAGCATCTCCTATGTGGAAGGTTACCCTGTCCCAGCATACTGTTTAGCATGGAGAAGGAAAAAACCCGCGTCAGGCAGCCTGCTTGCACACAGAAGGCCAGATGCTGGGATTTGCCAAATGAGGAATGGGCACACTTCTCCTTGGCCTTGGGTCTTGGGGGGACACCCAGTCTGATGGGTGTAGGGGGGACGGCTCTGCATGTTAGACTCTAGAGTCTTGAGCAAAGTTTATAAATCAAACAGGCCCCAAAGTCCTGCTTCTGGAAAACAATGCCACTTTTTACTCAGCCCGATACCCTCATGAGAAGTTTGGTCTTTTAACATTTCTCTGTGGTGTTGGGTCTGCCAGTCCTACAGCATGACTGATTTTAGTGATTTTGTCTCTGAGGGTCTGTGGGTGCTTGGGAAGAGAAAGCCGTTTGAGAAAGGGGCTGTGATAGTGAGGATGACAAGGAGTCCTGAGATGTCATTCCACACTTACCACGTGTTGGGCCTGGGCCAGATCTACAGGCACAGCAGAGACCAAGGCAGACCCAGCCCTTGTCCTCAGGGAGCAGACATCCGAGTGGAGGAGGTGGTCTCTAAACAGATCATTTCAGGAAACAGCAAGAACATGATAGCAACAGGAGACGGAGGGGTCCGGGAGGGCTTCTCGGAGGAAACAGCCTCGGGGCTGAGGTTGGATGGGAAGGAGCCAGCCCTGTGAGGACCTGGAGGAGGGTGTCTAAGGCTGAGGGAATGGGAAGAGCTTGCTCCTTGACCTGGGGGTGGGCTTGCTGGTCAAGCCAGAGAAGGCCAAGGGGCGGGTGCAGTGAGTGAGGGGAAGGTGGGAGAAGTTGAGCGTGGGGAAGTCAGCAGACACCAGATGGAACCGAGCCTAGTGGGCCATGACAAGGGGCTGGGGTTTACTCTCCAGGGTGGGGGGGGTGTCCTCAGGAGTAGACTATGGGTGGGCTGGGGAAACCAGGCAGGAATTCTCTGTAGTCCTTCTTGAAAGAGTCAACTAAGACTTGGGTCAGTGGAAAGGACTGGAGAATTGGCTGCATTCCGGATGGACTTTGGAGGAATTGGGGCTAAGACTTGTTGTGGGTCGGGAGTGTGGTGAGGGGGGCGGAGAGCATGGATTCCAGTGGTGCCATTCACTGAGGAGACACTAGGTGGAGTTTTGATGAGACTGGTGTAAGAGGCAGCACTTGCTGGTTGTGAGATGATGGACAGGAGGGCAGATGGGCAAATCAGGGAGAGAAAGCAGGCATGAGGGTGGTTCGCATGGATGGATGGATGGATGGATGGATGGAAAGACGGAGTTGGACCATATCAAAGCTGTCCTGATGACTGTGTGTGTGTGTGTGTGTGTGTGTGTGTGTGTGTGTGTGTGGTGGGAGTTTCAGCTGGTAGTTTTGACCTGGCTGAGCTACAGAGGGCAGGAGCGCCAGGCTAGCAGAGAAATGGCAGAGCCCGGAGGCCGAGGCGCTCCCTGTGCCCAGCACTCAGCACCCACGTCCCTGTTGAAGCTGCACTCCACACCAGGCCTGGTTAGTGCAGGTAGACACCACTGGGGGGGACATGTAGGCGGAGTGCCGCGCCTCCACCGAGGTGCCCTAATCCTAATCCCTGGAACCTGTGAATGGGTTCGATTACAGGTGAGGAGGAATTAAGGTTGCCAATCAGCTGCGTTTGAGACGGGAAGATGATCCTGGATTCTCTGGGACCCAAGCCATCACGAGGGTCCTTAAAAGATGGGAGAGAGGCAGGAAAGTGTGTTGGATGCCATGCAGTGTGAGGAGGGTTTGGCCGGCTGCCGCAGGCTTTGAAGATGGAAGGGGCCCCAGGCTGACGACAGCTGGCAGCCTCTAGAAGCTGGAAAAAGCAAGACCGGACTCTCTCCTGGGCTCTCCAGAGAGGAATGCAGCTTGCTGACTCCTTTATCTTAGCCCTATAAGGCCCATTTGAGACTTCTGTCTCCCAAAATGTGAGGTAATGAGTTTGTGCTGTTTTCAGCCACTCAGAAGAGTAATACAGGGGATGTTGAGAAAAAGCAGGTCTTACTCCAGCTTGGGGGACAGCTTGCTGACTACTCCAAGCTGGGGAAGCAGAAGAGCCCATGCGCTCTGAAATCAGGAACACCTGGGTTCAAGGCCGCTCACTCTGACTTTGGGCAAGTCATGTCTTACTTCGGAGACTCACTACCCTCATCTGTAAAATGGGGATATGAATAGCTTCTACCTCCCTGTGTTATGGTGAAGACCAAGGCAGATGACCTGGGTGATGTGCGTGGCGTAATGCCTGACACACAGGGACCCTCAACAAATACCTGCTGCATCATTAGCTATGAGGGAGGTCTGGACTCTTTCTCTCAACCTGCCAAGGGTGACTCCTTTCCTGACCTGATCCAGTGGGATTTGAACGCAGCATTTGTCTGACCCCCAGAGCTCCCTGCTGGAGGAAGTACTGTCCGGTACAGCCTCAGGGACAGCCATCAGGGGTGCTGCGGGAAGTGAAGGATGTTGCTGTTGTATGAGCCAGGAATCCCAGTCCTGGGTGTGAGAACAGACCTGGGTTCGCAGGGGTTGTGGCACACAATAATATAGTATTTGTGCTCAGATCCTTGACTCAGGGTCTGCTTCTGGGGACTGAGATCCAAGAGAGGACCAAAGTACAAGAATGCCTGTCCCATGTTCCCCGTGGCCCCTGGCGTCCATCCCGGGTCCAGGGGGTGAGGGAGTGGGGTGAGATGGGCAAGTGAGTCGTGGTAGACACAGATGGTGGACTCCTATACATTGCACAGGAATTAGAAGCACTGAACTAGATGTAGGTTTAGCAACACATTTAGATCTTAAAAGCATGATGCCGAGTGGAAAAGAAACAGAAGTTTATAGCACTATGCTATTTATATAAATGAACACACACACACACACACATTACAAATTTGACAAAGACTCAAGCACTTGGAAGGATCTATATCAACCACGGGGAGGGTGCCTGGCAGGACAGGGGCAGGGGATAAGCAAGGGAGGGTGGTGTGTGGAACGAGGGAACAATGAATAAGACAGCCCGGCACAGGCCAGTGATGAATGGTGGCATGAAGTGAAGAGTGTGGTTAATACAACTCTGGGATTTAATCCAGGTAAAGAGAAATGAAGAGCACGAAACCAACCAAGCCACCAGGCTCTGAACTGCCCCGAGTGCTGAGTGGAGATACAGATTCGTAGGACCATCCCTAGACCTTTGCAGTCTGAATCCCTGAGGGGGGCCCAGGAATTGGCATTTTTGACAGGCTCCCTTATGGATGGATGCTCATGTATGCTCAAGTTCAAGAGAGACAGAGAGGGTGCCTTGAATACCTGGAGCCCACACCCCCTCAGGGGCTGGGGGCTGCAAGAGCTGCTCTGGATTTTGGTGGGGAGCCCTCTGACCAACTTCTCCACCTCTTTGGGGGTTCTGGAAAGCTCCGTGGGTCCCAGTCTTGGGAAACTTCACTGGAGAAGGAGAAACCCTTCTGTTCTGAGAGAAAAATCTTCTGCACTGGGGTCGCCTTGATCCAATTCCCCTTTGGGAGCCCAGAGATCTGCTGAAACTCCCCATGCAACTTCTTTTCCTTCCCCTTGGGAGAAAGATGATGTGCACAAGCTATGACGGAGGGTTGGGTATCATTTCCAAAGATAAACGGTCATCAAACCATAAGGAGTTCTGGGTGGCAGAGGCCGCTGTGTGGTCAGTATCTGCTCCGAATGGACGTGCTAGGCCTGGGAGTGGAGGTAGGAAGGGAGAGCGGGATGGGGTAAAGGTCTGGATCAGGCTGGCCTGGCCACCACAGCTGCTCCTGCCAACGACCCTTTGGCCTGAGACAGCCATCGGCACCCACCGACTCGCCGGGCCCTCTCTGAGCCTCTTTCCTCCCTGTAAAGTGGGAGAAGCGTGCCCATCTCACAGAGCTGTTGGGAGGACCCAGTGAATGGAGGGTTGCTGCAGGGATTAGCAGTGTCGCCCGATCGCTCACCGCCATGGCCACATCCCGTCAAGGTCATGAACGGGTTCCATAAACTGGTGTGCACTCATCCTAACTGCACTGATCCTTAACATACCACGGGTCTCTCTTGACTCTGTTCTTCCAGTCCTCTGCCCCTCCCTTGGGACGGAGCTCTCTGTCCCTCTTCTGAGAGGGGGATGCAGAGACAGTGCTGAACACTCACGGTGCTATAGTGACAACCATCACAGCCACCCTTAACTGCGTACTGAGTGCTGCGGTGCTGTGCTAAAAGCCTTAATCGACAGAGCCATGTCAAGCATCACCACTAACACCCCCATTCTATAGATGAAGAAATCGAGGCTTTGGTAAATAAAAACTCAGGACTCTGGTGATATAAGTGATAAAGCCAGAATCAATCTACACCTGTAGGACTCTTTGACCTCTGCATTTTACTGTCTCCCTGGATTACTGGTTCCCAGGGGAGGGGGGAGGTCTCCACCACCTGCAGCAAGCTAGGGACTGGATCTCTCCTCTCTCTGTGTCTACGGACAAGCTTTTGGAAAGTCTTTCGTGATGGGGAGAAGCAGGCAGTTGCCCATGGCTGGGGGAAACACGTTTATTCCTAGTGTATATTTGCACACAAGCAGAGTTAGAAATCAACAAAAGCCGTGGTGTTGTCAAATTCTGAGTTGCCATTTTGGCCTCCGGGGAGAAGAGCCCTCCTGTGCTGTAAACACAGGTCAGATGTGAGGGGGTGGCCTCTGGGCCTAGCTGCCTGCCTGCTCCCCCACCTCCTGGCTGTGCACCCTTACAAAAATGACTTCACCTCTCTGGGCCTGAGTGTTCTCGGCCATCAGCTGGGGTCATCATCACACTTGCTTGTAAGCGCTTGGAGCTGTGAGTTCACATGTTAGGGCCCTGTGTTTGCTAGAAGGACTTTTGTGTAGCAAGCTTGGCACCTCCCCTCGCGCTTCCTTTCTCAGAGGAGGACTGTGAGGTGGAAAACACTTTCCAGAAGGGGGGCTTCTGTGCTGGCTCTCCTCTCACCCCGCACTGACGTCAAGTCACTCACTTGGCTGGGCCTCAATTTCCCCATCTGTAACATAAACTGCTGATGCACGCCCCTGTGGTAGGCAGAATAATGGGTCCCCAAAGAGGTCAATGTCCTGATCCTCAGGCCCTGAGAATGTGTGACCTTACGTGGCAGAAGAGATTTTGCTGGTGTGATTAATGAAATCAATGATCTTGAGGTGCGGAGATGATCCGGGGGGGCCCCGCATATAATCACAAGCATCCTTAAAGAGGGAGGCAGGAGGGTCAGGGTCGGAGAAGCAGATGCGATGGCGGAAGCAGAGGTCGGAGTGATGTGGGGCCAGGAGCCAAGGGTGCGGGCAGGATCTAGAAGCTGGAAAGGGCATGGAAATGGGTTCTCCCCCAGGAGGAACACAACCCCGCCGACCCCTTGATTTTAGGCCAGGGAGACCCATTTTTGACTTCTGATCCCCCATTCTGTAAGATGCTAAATTTGTGTTGCTTTAAGCCACTACATTGGAGCTAATATTGTGGCAGGTGGGAACGAACACA